AAGATCTTGGAGAGTTAATGAAAATTTGTTTAGACAAGAAAAGAATGTTCAAAAACTAAAGGAGTGTTTAAAGGACTATTTTGCTTTGAATATGTATAAGGGGACTTCAATGTCAATGGTATGGGATGCAGGTAAAGCATTTATGCGCGGTGTTTTGATAAAAATGAATAATTTTTATAAGCGAAATCAGATTCAGAAACGTAGAGAACTTGAAGATGAAATTAAATTAAAAGAAAGGGCTTTGATTTTAAATCCTTCTGATGAGAGTATTAAAGAATCTGTAAAGTTATTAAGGTCACAATTTAATATGTTGATAGCAGATCAAGCTGCAACCAACTTATTATTTATGAAACAAAATACATTTTGTAATGCCAATAAGCCTGGGAGATGGTTGGCTTATCAATTAAGAAAGAAACAGAGACAAAGAATAATAGAGAAAATAAACTATAAGGGTAAATTAGTTTCTCAGAAGGAATTGATTAAAAAATCTTTTTTGGATTATTATCAAAACCTATATAAATCTACTAATATACAAATGCTAGATATAAATAAATATTTAGCTGAGGCAAGTTTTCCTAAACTGACTGAGGATCAGAAATATGAAATTAATGGTTTAATTACTAAGGAGGAAATTACCTCAGCAATTCAACAATTGAAATTAGGGAAAGCACCGGGTACGGATGGGTTAACAGCTGTTTATTACAAAGTTCTAATAGAGGAGATGATCCAACCATTACATGATCTTTTTAATGGTATTTTACAGGGTTTAGAGATTCCTCCTTCATGGCGTAGTGCTTTTATATCATTGATTCCAAAGGAGGATCAAGATCTTACCCTACCAAAAAATTACAGGCCTATATCTCTTTTAAATGTGGATTATAAGATATTTGTAAAAATTTTGGTAAATAGGCTTATGAGGGTGGTGCATCATCTTGTGCATAAAGATCAATCAGGATTTATAACAGGAAGGTATATGAAAAATAATGTCAGACAAATTATTAATTTACTAGAATATTTAGACAAGAACAACCAAGTTCCTGCAGGGCTCATATTTTTAGATGCTGAAAAAGCATTTGATCAATTGAATTGGCATTTTATGTTAAGAGTAATGGAAGAAATGAATTTTGGTGAAAAGATATTACAAGCCCTTACGGTAATATATCAAAAACAAACGGCACAACTTATTGTTAATGGAGGTTTGTCGGAGGTTTTTACAATAGAGAAAGGTACTAGACAGGGGTGTCCTTTATCGCCATTGTTGTTTGTTTTAACATTGGAAATATTATTGATCAAAATTCGAGAGTCTCAGGAAATTAAAGGAATATATGTTAATAAAAAAGAATATAAGTTGAGAGCTTTTGCGGATGACTTGGTTGTTACTTTGTCGCAACCTGATTATTCTGTAGTAAACTTATTACAGTTGATTCATCATTATGGTTTGGTCTCGGGTTTTAAGATTAACGTAAATAAGACTAAAATTTTACCTAAAAATATGTCGAGTCAGGAGAAGCAGATTTTGGTCAACTTGACGGGTTTTGAGATTGTTAATAAGGTAAAATATTTGGGGGTGATGCTGTCTGTTTCTAATGCAAAATTATTTAAAAATAATTATGAAAGGTTGTGGGTCAGGGTACAGAAGGACTTGAAGAATTGGGAAAAGTTGCAATTATCCCTCATGGGAAGAATTGCAGTGATAAAAATGAATATTCTACCCAAGTTTCTTTTTTTGTTTCAAATGTTACCAATTTTGAAAAATGAGATTAATTTAAATGAGTGGCAGAAGGGTCTCAACAAATTTATTTGGGCAGGGAAAAAACCAAGGGTTAAGTTTAAAATTATGCAAGACTTCCGTGAGAGGGGTGGACTTAAGGTACCAAATTTGAAATTATATTATGATGCGGTGGTTTTAACATTAATTAGTGATTGGGTAAATTTGACAAATTCTGAGATACTTTACTTAGAGGGATGGGATTTACTTTATGGTTGGCATGCCTATTTAATATTTAATAAAAAAATAGATTGGGCTTTTAAATCTCATATTTTAAGAATTTCTTTACTTAGGATTTGGAGAAAATATTATAAAAGTGATTTTAAAGTACCATTATGGGCTATACCTTGGCATGCGATAGAAGGAATAAAAAGAGGGGTTAAAATGGATATGGTGTCTTATAGACAGTTACTTAAATGGGATGGACAAAACTGGCAATTAAAATCACGGGAAGAGTTAGCACAAGAAAATTTTACTTATTCTTGGTTCCAATATAGGCAATTATTAGATAGATGGAAGATGGATTGTAAGGTGGGTTTTCTTAGAGAAGATGAAAACCTTATTAAGCAACTGAAGGATCAAAGACAAACCCACATTAAGAGAATTTATGGGGTTTTAGTTGAATTGGACTCAGAAACGGAACTAATTAAAGATTGTATGATTAGATGGGCGCAGAATTTTGGTGAGCCAGTTTCATTGGACACCTGGGAAACTATTTGGGTGAGAAATGTCAAATTTACTCAAGCACAGAACTTAAGGGAGAATTTTTATAAAATGTTTTATAGATGGCACCTTGATCCACAAAAAATGTCTTATATGTATCCTGACGTGCAACCCAAATGTTGGAGATGTGGTTATAAGGAGGCTTCTTATTATCATATTTGGTGGTCATGCAGAGAGATAAAAGCATTTTGGATTAAAATATGGTGGAATATCCAGAGAATTTTTAGAAGGAGGGTAAAATTTACTCCGCAATTATTTTTGTTAGGTATTGTTACAGATTGTGATACAAAGGAGGTTGTATTGATGTTAAACTTGATCACAGCCGCTAGGCTGTTAGTAGGACAATACTGGAAGAAGGAATCTTTGCCTACATTGCAGGAATGGTTTCTTAAAGTAGCTTATCTGGCAGAAATGGCAAAGATTTCGGCTTTCTTAAAGCAACAAACGCAAGAGAAGTTTTTTGCTGTTTGGGATAAATGGATAAAATTTATACAATTTAGATTGGGTATACAAAAATATTATATAGTTTTTTCATAAGTTTTATTTTCATATATATTATAGATAATTTTTTATATATATAAATATAAACTTTTTAATTTAATTTTTATTTTTATTTTTTAAGCCTATATTCTGCTCTGGGAAGCTCAGGGGGGGGAAGGGAGGGGTTTTTTTTTTTTTTTTTTGGGAGGGCTGGGGGATGGGGTTTTTTTTTTTATTTAATATATGTATTGTTTAGTTTTATTTTTCTGTATATGTTGCCTCTTGTTTTGTATTATTTTTCCTTTTTTGTAAAATTTATAAAACTTTCAATAAAAAAAAAAAAAAAAAGTGCACACAAGCATCAGACTTCATCTACTGAAGCTGCATTTAGAATTATTCCTGAACTTAAAGGGGGGGGTACATTAACGAGCGGTCAATGCCAGAAGGTGCTATTCTTCAACTTCACTTCTGTTTATTTTTCTCTAGAACTTATAGAAAAACCAAGAATTCCAATCAGAGTCTGCATCTACAATGGGTGCTGTAGTAATCCAAGTAGTTGGTTGCTGCAGACATCTTACCACTAGATAGAATTGTGTTCTTCCACGAGAGAAGTAATGTTATTTTCATTAACCTGGGCAAAAGACTCAGTCATATTCATCAGCTCAAGGACAAACCATTTTTATATTATTGCCAAGAAATCAACATGGTCAAGTCCAGGTAGTCACCAAGAACTGAGTTTGACTCAATTTTTTCCTATCCGTGGGCCACAAGAAATATATGCTTCTCATTTTCTTGGTTTGCAAAGATACACAGAAGCACAGGAAAAACCCAACCCATTTATGCATATCAGTAAGTTTGCCATGATCCCTTTAAGTGTTTGACTTTTCTGGGAGGACAGGCAGTTTGCTTTTAGCCCTCTAAGTATTGGTTGACTGACCTTTGGAAATTGTTAACAGTATTTGACATCATCTTTGTCTTGCTAGAAAAGTTGAGTAACTGTAAACCTCTGGTAGAGACTGTGTTGCTGTATACTGCCAATTTAGTTTCATTTTTTCTTAGGCTATCAAAGAAATGTCACTTTATACTAACTGAAAGCTCATCTTCTACACTGATTTCTGGCCAATGTCATCTTCCTTTATCCTTTCCACAAGGTTCTTGCCTGAAGGGTTCAAAGTTAAGCCAGTCTGCCATCCTTCCTGAGATCTGTGAAATGAGGACCCTGATTGTTGGGGGGAGGCAATATGCAGATAATGCTTCTACATTGTAAATTGCCCAGAGAGTGCTGTAAAGCACTAAGGGGAGGTATAGAAGCCTAAATGCTATTCCTATTCCTATTGATATCTTGCAGAGGAAGTAAGGTAATTAATTGTCTATCCCTCATTCCTGAATTGAATTTATCTATTATGACCATATGAAAAGAAAATGCTTTGGTTTTGTTTTCACATTACATTGATTCTGTTTTTTTAATTTTTGACTTTTGACTTGCAAAAATAAAAAAAATACAAAATCTGTTTTAGGGTAACATTATTTCAAAATTGGAAAAAAATGGATTTTTTTTAACTCTAGAAGGAGTACACATGACTTTTTTGGGGGGAGGCTTTATATTTTGTATGTTGTATACCTTAGGTACAAGGGCTGCCAAATATCAAGAAGCAGGCCCACTAACAAATACAGCTTTGCCCATAGCAGAGAATTTGGGAGGATCTTAACACATTCTGCCTGGAAGAGATGTATGTCTTTTGCTAATCTAAGAGTCTGAGACAGAACAAATACAATTCTTCTACTAATGGAACCCCCCCCCCCCAAAAACCCTAAAAAGATAAAGAGAAATGGATAGCAGTCTATGCTCCTGCTTGAGATCACAATAAAAAAATCACTGAATCACTGGTAGCATGTTCTGAATGCTTGTTGGTGGAAAGCAACAGTGGAAGAAAGCTATCTTGTTCCTTTGCATGCTGTGAGTATGTACTACTGACACCATGATGATGATAGTTTCAATGTCAAGGTTTGATTTCATATATTAATTCCATTTAAAGAATTTACAAACCAATTTTATTAATTTTGAGCATACAAATACCATATTAAAATCTGACTTACAATATGTATATGGTGTTTTTATTTCCCCTTTACATAGTGATTACAGTGCATAAAGCAAAATGGGTGTACTGTACTCCACATCCTTTAAAGCATTTACACATTTTCTTGCTGATTCCAGTTGTTTCCGCATTGCATCCTTCACTATCTAATCTGCTACATCAATATAATACTACTTGCTACACTTTTTCATCCAGATATAAATCTCTTTACAATTGTGATTTTTGTGATAGTCTGAACACAATATACTAATAAAACACAAAATGTACAGACATCTCATTTAACTATGTAAGCACAAAACCAGAAAATTATATTAAAAGATAGGATTTTTAAAAGTAGTCCTTAATAGAAGTACTTTCTTATGGATTTTATGTTAAATTACTCTTTTTTTTTGCTGTAGAAAGGATTGTCAATATTGGTGTTAAATCTCTTTTAGTTACCTTTGGAATAATTTCTGATCATTGTAAGTGAACAGATCTTAAAGAGCAGCAAAGGACTGAGGGAGCTTATTTGGTCCTCTTGACTATAATGCCACTGAAGGCATGGCGCTCTTTTCAAATTGTGCATAGTTCATTCTACTTTTTCCAAAGAAGAATTAGTTACCTTGCAGTATATTATGTATGTATACATGCATGTATGTATGTGTGTATGAATGTACAGTATCTACATACTGTACATTGTGATTGCAAGAAATCAAGAACAATTGTATATTACTGAAATTCCATTTTGCATGTAGACATGCACATGTAGAGTTTGGGTATTGTGAAAATCACTATTTCAAGCATAACCTCAGATAATGATGTAACTGAGGACTTAGGTACACCTAGGATCTAAGTGCACCATCATTGGAAAAATCATTCACTTTTTTTCTAACTAAGCATATCTAATCACTTGTGTTACCCAAAATTTATGTAGGTACATTTTATTTGACCATTAGTTAAATAAATAAAATGTCCAAGAAATTAATATAGCTATTTAAAATATTTTATGGAAGGAGCATAATCTCATAAATCATAAGTCAAAGAATCATCATGATAAACATGCAGCAGGGTCTCCTAGGTTAAAAAAACAGTAGCCTATTATAAAAGTCTACAAAGCAGAAATAACAAATCAGTTACATAGTAGGTAAAATGTATGCACATAATCCATTTGTATATCACTCCACACAAATTCAGTCAAAGTGAATGGAACAGCATAAGGGCATTCTTGTTATTTTCAATCTGGCTTGTTTTAAACAGTTTTCAAAGTTTGTCTCTGATGTTCTTTTATACAGAGGACCCATTCTTTTCAGTCTAGATGATTCTTGCATGTATCTTCTGACAGAGACAGAATGATGGATGGAGTTGGTAAGTGTCATCTAGTGATAGGAAAGCCAGTCGCTTTGACCAGAGTTCATATTTACACCTATTGCTTGATTTACAGTACAGCTTGGGCCTCCAGATTTAGCAGCAGGATCTTCAGACAAAGGAACTTTACCCTGCAAAATTGTAAAAGGAAGCATTGTAATTTTTCAATACTAAATTATATTTGCATAGATACTTCTAGCATATTAGATTGCAAAACGAAGATATACTATAAGATGCCTTGCCTAGCAAATATCAGGTTTAAACTGATATTTACGTAGGTTCTCTCTCTCTCTCTCTCTCTCTCTCTCCACGTGTGTGTGCGTGTATGAGTTGCTGTATGTGTTGGGGTGCACGTGTGTGTGTGTGTGTGTGTGTGAGAGAGAGAGAGAGAGAGAGAAAGAGAGAGAGAAGAAAATTTCTAAGCATATATCTTATCAGATGTTAAAATGCTTGATTATGCTACTAAAAACGAATAAAGCCAAAGATTAATGTATTGGCACATTTACCTTGAGCCAACCAGAAGAAGAAACAAAGTGAGGTTTAATTGATGGTACAAGACTAAGCAAAGCCATATTCTAGGAAGTGACTAAGGAAAATGTCAGAGCACTCAGAAGCAACTGGGGAGCACTGGGATCCGTCACTCTGTCCTGATTTAGCATGTTTTGAAGGATTTCTGTGTAAAAGATTTGTAGGAAAAAAATCTGTAATGCTATGTTTCACTAACGTATGAAGATTACAAGTAAGTGAAATACCAAGGAAGTGGAGAGAAAATTCCCTGCAGCCTATCTTATAGGAAATGGGTGGCAAAGCGCAGTTGGCGCTTTATTAATGAAAGAAAAACCAGTCAGGTATGATGGATGAGAGGAGAAGTTATTCAGAGAGTGGGTTAGAATGTGAGCAAGCCCAATTGTGTACAGTAAGGGTGTGAAACCGAGTTGGACAACCTGCACTGGGGAAGAAAGACTGGGGAGTGTTTGGAAGAGGCCAAAGATTTGGTGGATGCAGGAGCAGAAAGTGGGAGGGAGAGCATAACAGCATCTGAAAGTGGAGTGAGTACTTTGGCAGAACAAACTTTTGATTGGCTAGAATAACTCCAGTGATTGAGGCAGCACCAAATTATAAATACATAAATGGCTAGACATGTTTGAGCCAGATGGACTTCCAAAGCCATCAAAATGGTCAGGCTTATTCTTCAATTCCATCCCTTTTGGAAGATGTTAGTTAAAACTGGCCATGCTGATACATTTCTTAAATTATCAGGCCCGCATGGAACAACTCCATTCCAACAAATATAGTCATGATTTCAGTACTCAAGAGTCAGTCCAATTTGAAGCAGTACTCTGAGTCCAAAAATCAAGCCATCCATCTGTCTCAGCACTGCAAACTAAATTATAGAACCGGTATAGATAAAGAATGCCCCAAAGAGCTTTTAGGGTCAATACTGAAACAATATTGAAGCTGTAATCCAGTATTTTAAAAGCCAATACTATTTTGATTTGGCACTTTGCTTCAAATTTGGTCACTAAATCAACATGCCCTTATAAACAATACAGTCATAATAGTTACAACTATTTGTACTACTATAAAATAGTTCACAAGAATATCATCATAATCGCTTGTAACCAAATATATTGAATTAAACACAACTGTTAGAAAACAAGAAGTAAAATGGCATAATACCTGCTTTGTGTATCATAAAAAAACCCTAAATATATGACAGAACTATCAGTTAAAACACAACTTATTTTTACTTTTTGTTCTTTAAATTACAGCTATCTTGTACAAATATAGAGTGTATAACTTTCTTGTAGGAGTTTTCTATCATCAAATAGTGTTTTTTTTAAAGCAATGTATACTATTCAATAGCCTATGAAAATTCACATTGATTCCAGAAATAGGTTTATGCATATATATATGCATAATATATATATGCATAAATATATTTGGTTGTTTGGGTTTTCTCCCGCGTAAAATTGGAAGTGTCTTGCCGACGTTTCGACGAAGTCCCATTCGTCATCTTCAGGCTGGTGCTTTCAGCTTCGTGCTTCGAGGAGCAATTGCTCGAAGCACAAAGCACGAAGCTGAAAGCACCACCCTGAAGATGACGAATGGGACTTCGTTGAAAGGTCGCCAACACACTTATAAATTTGTTGTTTGGCAAATCTGTGCTCAGCCCACTATCTCTGTACTGTAGGTAATAGTTGCATTTTTAAAAAATGACAATAGGTAGGTTAACATGAGAAAAAATGAAGGAAAAAAGATGGTATCATACTGGACATAAGATAAATTGAACAAAAATATATGAAAGAGAAAACAGCACCAGCTAAAATATTTTTAATTTTTTAAAATTAAGCAAAATTGAGGAATGCAAAGGCAGCATTAACAAAGCAGTTTTCTCACCTGTTTCTTTGCTGCAATATTTACAATCTGCTCAGAAGTATCCTTGATGTCTGAAGAAATCCTAGAGTTCCCTGGGACATTTACATCTCCCACCGAAAAGACAGGAAAGAGGGGCCTGAGAAATCGGAACTCGCTACTTAAGGATCCACCGGTCAAACAAACATCATAACGGTAAGTCCTGGGAAGAGACCCATTCTGTGAATCTGCACAGTTCTCTGGGGCATCAGCACTGGCGGGTGGGAAGTGAGGAACAGCTGCAGTAAAATGGCTTTGGGGGTCCTTCTTGAGGATTTTGACCACAATAAACACAACAATACAGACCAGGAACACAAAGGAGACAGCAGCCAAGCAGATCACCAAATACTTGGTCAAGGTTTTATCTTCTTCCGGTTCTTGCACACTGACATCCACCCTCCTCAGGAAGGGATCCGAAAAGCCATCCACAAGAAGGACATTAAGCAACGCCGTGCTGGTCTGGGGAGGAAGACCGTTGTCTCTGACCAGAATCACCAGCCTCTGCTTGTTTGTGTCTCGCTCATTCAGGGCTCTCCTGGTTTTCACTTCCCCATTCTGCGCTCCTATGCTGAAAAGGGCTGGGTCTGTGGCCTTCAGCAATTCATAGGAAAGCCAAGAGTTTTGGCCAGAATCTGCATCCACTGCAACCACCTTGGTGACCAGATAGCCGGCCTCGGCTGACTTGGGAACCAGCTCATTGCATGGGGATGTATTGTTCTGGAGGGGATACAGGAAGAAGGGAGCGTTGTCGTTTTCATCTATGATGTGGATGCGGACAATCACTTCTGATCTCAGGGAAGGAGAACCACCATCAGAGGCCCTCACAGTAACTCTGAAGCCTCTTATCTGCTCATAGTCCAGGGATCGGAGGGCATACAGGTTTCCAGTTTCAGAGTTGATTGAAATAAAAGTGGGCAAAAGGCCATCACCCTTCCCAGGCAGAACTGAGTAAGTCACATTTGCATTCTGCTTTATGTCCAGATCCACAGCGTGGACTGAGCCGATGAGCAAGCCTGGAATATGATTCTCCCGGATCTGCATGTCATATGAAGACTTTTCAAAAAGAGGAGGGTTATCATTGACATCGGAGATCTGAACATTAATCAGTCTTGTTGAAGTGAGCCTAGGAGAGCCACAGTCAATGGCTGTGATGGTGATGTTGTACTCAGTGACCATCTCTCTGTCTAGGGGACTTTGGAGCACAAGCTGATAAAAATTGTTTGTGGTGCCTTTGAGCACAAAAGGAAGGTTCATCTCCACAGAGCAGACCGTTTTGCTGTTGTCTCCAGAGTCTTGGTCTCTAACACTGAAGACGGCCACCACTGTGTCTGGAGGAGAGTCTTCCTTTAAAGTGTTGGTCAGAGATATGATGGACACTTCTGGAGGGTTGTCATTCTCATCTTCAATCTCAATCAATATATTGCAGTGTCCTGAAAGACCACCTCCATCTGTTGCTCTAATATTCATGCTGTAACTTTTTTCTTTTTCATAGTCAATCTGTCCCCAAACACAGATTTCACCAGTAATTTCATTTAAAAAAAATAAATTATTTATCCTTTCTAGGACTCGATGGAATGAGTAGAGTATCTGTGCATTTGAACCCAAATCCAGATCTGTGGCTTCCACCTTAACCACAAGAGTGCCCTTAGGGAGATTCTCCTTTATTCTTGCCTTATATTCAGACTTGCTAAACAGAGGAAAGTTATCATTATTATCCAGAACATTAATATTAATTTGAACTGTGCCTGTTTTCTTTGGAACTCCTCCATCAATAGCCATTAGAGTCAATCCAAGGTGTGCCATCCTCTCCCTATCTAGTGACTTCTCCAGAACAAGATCTACATAGTGGTTTCCATCTTTATTCCTTTGCACATCTAGCCGAAAATGCTCATTGGGACTCAGAGTATAATTTTGGATACTATTTTCTTCCAGGTCCTCATCCTGTGCTGATTCTAAGGGGAATGTTGTAGTTTCAGGAATGTTCTCAGGAATGTCCAGCACCACTTCGTTTTTCCAAAATTTGGGGGCATTGTCATTCACATCTTCTATCTTGATTTCAGTATTAAAGATATCTAAGGGGTTTTCCAAAACAAGCTGAGATAGAAGTACACAAGGATCATTCTGGCCACATAAAGCTTCTCTGTCTATGTTATCCTTAATCAACAGATCCCCAGTCTGAATATCAAGGTGGAAGTATTCCTGAATGCCCTCAGCAACTAAATGTGCTTTGCGGGCTGAGAGCTCCCCTGCTTCCAGTTTCAATTCCTTGAGTACATTAGCCACCAGAAACCCCCTTTTCTTCTCTTCAGGGACAGAAAAGCGAATTGAAGCACACATTACTTTAAGGAATGAGAAAGAGAGAAGGACATACAGACCTTGTCTTTTCCAAAAGCAATTCTCCATGATTCCAGTCTCTTCCTTGTAGGCTCAAATTCTGCCCAACAGTCAGCCTTTCTTTCCTTTCTTTATGATTTAGTTGTGCAAATCATTCTTAATTCTTCTTGTTTTAGATTTTTGCCATCTTATGATCTGCAAATGTTTCACCGCCAAAGAATCAGATTCTTTTTGATTTTTGTATAACTGCCTGCCCTGATACTGAGCAAGCAGAACAGAATTAAATTTCTTTGTTAATATCGCCACCATGTGGTGAACTAGGCAAATCCTTTACTGTATTTGTATTGTATTGAATCCATTTTTATCTATCTACTGGTCAATTATATAGAAAAAGAAAAGAGCGGCAATATGTACAAACGTTTTGTACCTTATTGATACAGGTTGTAATCCAGTCCTTTTACAATATAGTGTTGAATGACTGTGGGCATATTCAGTGACTCTAGGTGGCTTCTATTGTGTGCCCATGCATATCAAGTCAAAATCTGTGTAAGAAAATCATTTCCGTATTGGGACAGTTTGCCAACACAGTTTGAACTAAAGGCAATGATATCTTCCCAATGGATAATTCATGTTCTGCTACATGTTCCCACTTTTTTTGTGGGGGGAATAGAATAGAGTAGAGTAGAGTAGAGTAGAGTAGAGTAGAACAGAACAGAACAGAAGTTGGAAGGGACCTTGGAGGTTTTCTAGCTAGGAGATCCACTACCATTCCAGACAAACTGCTGTCTAATCTCTTCTTATAAACCTTTAGTGATGGAGCACCCACAATTTCTGAAGGCAACTTGTTGCACTGATTGATTGTCAGGAAACTTCTTATTTCTAGGAAAATTTCTTCTCCTGTCTTCAGGTACTTTAGAGAAGAGGTTGACCCCTTTTCTTTATGGCATCTCCTTAGATGTTGGGAGACTACTATTATGTCACCCCTAGTCCTTCTTTTCATTAGACTAGACCAGGGGTAGGCAGCCTTGGCTCTTTTATGACTTGTGGACTTCAACTCTCAGAATTCCTGAGTCAGCATGGCTGGTTCAGGAATTCTTGGTATTGAAGTCCACAAGTCATAAAAGAGCCAAGGTTGCCTACCCCTGGACTAGACATACTCGGTTTTTTGTTCCTGTCAACTGCCTAGACTGGTCCCTATAGTTTTTTTGACTAGATTTTGCAGAAGTGGCTGCCATTGCCTCTTTCCTAGGCATCAGACAGAGAGATTAGCTCAAGTTCACCTTTCTATCTTAGTGTCTCAGAAAATAAATTGTTACATTCCTTTCTTTGTTACATTCCTTTGTGCAACCTCATCTATTATTTCCTTCCACCTTTCCAAGTATTCTTTAGGGCAGGGATGTCAAACACAATTTCATTGAGGGCCACATCAGCATTGTGGTTGCCCTTGGGGGACTGGGTGGGTGTGGCTGGGGTGGGCAAGGCCAACTTGACGTAGCTCGCGTCAGGGTGGGGGCTGGGTGGGGTTGGGAAGATCCAGGAGTCTCCAGTTGGTGGGGCAGGGGGTGGGAGGCTCGTCTAACCCTAACCCAGGCCCAGCAGAGATGTGGGGAGAGGTATGCAATCCTGGCTGTGCCTGGGCGGCCATGGCGCCGATGGGGATCCAGCTTTCCCCACTCGGGGTGGCTGTCTTTTGCTTGCTGGAACTGGGCATGCCTAATGGACCTATGTGAGCTGCTGGCGGCCTCAGTGGCAGCCCATGGCAGGGCTGAGGTGCACTGTGTGCATGAGGGAAATGTTGGTGGCCTTGGTGGCGACGGCAACCTGTGGTGGGGCCAAGGTGCATGAAGAGAACGCATTCCACATGCAGACCAAAGGCAAGATCTACAAGGGAGCTGAGGAGAAGATGATCAGCAGTGACCTGCTCTCCAACTGCAAGCAAAAACAGATGGTGGGAGGGAGTAGGGCCGGTCCAGTGATGGCAGTGGACTGCTGAGCCAGGCTGCAGTTGCCACTGGATACCATCACCCCCCAGGTGTACTCATTGCCTCCTGTGCAAGCACCTGGGGAGAGACACCCAGCCAGGCTGGGCAGGACCAGGGCCAGGGCAATAGGGGCCAGTCCCTCGCTGTCTCCGGGGTGGCCCTGCAGGCCAAATATGGGCCAATCGTGAGCCAGATTCAGCCCATGGGCCTTGTGTTTGACTTCCTCTCTAAGTAGCCCATTAACTGCTGAGGTTAGCCTCTAAATGGTCAAGATTACTCACTAGAAGGAAGACTACTTTCAAACTGAACTAGGGAAATGTTCCTGGAAGTCAAGTTTGCAATGGGAGGGAAATAAATAAAGGCTGACATTTTCTGTTTCTGTTTTCCAAAAGTGATTGAAGACCCTTTCAGGTGACAAGGTAACTAGGTGATGTAAATCAACTCTTTCTGACCATCCCGTTGGAATGAGTTGCGTATACAAAATGTACTGGTCATTCTTGGAATCTGATAATATCCAGTAAATATCTAGAAGAATAGAATAGAATAGAATAGAATAGAATAGAATAGAATAGAATAGAATAGAATAGAATAGAATAGAATAGAATATGAATATGAAAGGGACCTTGGAGGTTTTCTAGTCCAGTCCCCTGCTTAAACAGGAGAACCGATACCATCTCAGACAAGTGACTGTCTAACCTCTTCTTGAAAATCTCCAGTGATGGAGCGCCCACAATTTCTGGAGTCAAGCTGTTCCACTGGTTAATTGTCCTCACTGTCAGGAAGTTTCTCCTTAATTCCATGTTGCTTCTCTCTTTGATCAGTTTCCAACCATTGTTTTTTGTCCTGCCCTCTGGTGCTTTGGAGAATAATGTAACCTCCTCTTCTTTGTGGCAGCCCCTCAAATACTGGAACACTGCTATCACGTCTCCTCTATTTCTTCTTTTCTTTAGACTAGCCAAACCCAAGTCCTGCAGCCGTTCTTCGAATGTTTTAGTGTCCAGGCCTTTGATCATCTTAGTTGCTCTTCTCTGAACTTTTTCCAAGGTCTCAATATCTTTTTTGTAGTATGGTGACCAAAATTGTTTGCCGTATTCCAGGTGTGGTCTTACTATGGTTTTATAAAGTGGTACTCATACTTTGCGTGATCTTGATTCTATGCCTCAGGATTGTATTAGCTTTTTTGGCTACTGCTGCACACTGCTGGCTCATAGTCAAGTGATCGTCCACTAGGACTCTAAGGTCCCTCTCATAGTTACTGTTTTTAAGCCAGATCTTGCCTAATTTTTATTTGTGCCTTTGATTTTCCTGCCTAAATGTAAAACTGTGCTTTTCTCCACATTGAAACTCATTTTGTTGGCTAGGGCCCATTGTTCAAGTTTGTTAAGATCTTTTTGGATCCTGAGTTTGTCTTCTGCAGTGTTGGATACTCCTGCCAGTTTAGTGTCGTCTACAAATTTGATGAGTTCCCCTTCAATTCCCTTATCTAAATCATTGATGAAGATATTGAAAAGTACTAGGCCTAAGATGGAGCCTTGTGGTACCCCACTGCTTATTTCTCTCCATGTGGATGTAGTATCATTGAGGAATACTCATTGAGTATGGTTTGTCATTCAGCTACAAATCCATCTGATGATGATGTGGTCTATTCCACCTTTTTCAAGCTTACCAAGGAGTAGGTTGTGGTCTACTTTATCAAATGCTTTACTGAAATCTAAGTATACTACGTCCAGAAGCAAGACTCTATGTGATATTTTATCATTGAGCATATGGAATTATACTGCACACTGTGGATTACAAACCTGGTAAACCTGGTAAAATATACTAAATAAAAAAATTACAATGATGGAAGTGATGCAAACTATAAAAAAAACAGAAAAATGATAAAACCCCAGGACTGGATGGGTTACTTGTAGAGGTCTACAAATGTCTACAAGATACATTAAGCTTACCGATGAAGGAAGTGTGTAATGAGGTATTATCAGAGACCAAATTACCAAATATGTGTATAGAAGCAAATATAATTTTAATACCAAAAGAAGATTCAGATTTACATATAAAATTATAGACCTATATGATTATTAAAAGTGGGTTATAAAATCTTTCCTCAATAATAGCAGAAAGACTGAAAAGATTTTTGATTGAATTTATCCATCCAGATCAAAATGAATTTCTACCAAAAAGACAAATAAAAAATAATTTGAGGATTATTTTAAATACACTGGAATACTATGAAATGCATCCAGGAAAACAAATGGTATTAATTTTCCTAGATGCCCAAAAAGCTTTTGATAATGTAATTTGGCAATTTATGATACAACAATTAAACTGTATGAATTTTGGAGAAAACTTTATAAAAACTATTAAGACAATATATGATAAACAAACAACAAAATTGTCAATGGAGACTATATGGAGAACTTTAATATAAAGAAAGGTACAAGACAAGGATGTCCACTATCCCCACTGTTATTTATACTAACATTGGAAGTTCTCAATAGGAACATCAGACAAGATTTGGAAATTAAAGGAATGGAGATAAAAGACGAAAGTTATAAACTACAAGCATTCACAGACGACTTGGTATTCTAGATAGAAGAACCGTTGGATACAAATCCAAATTACTGAAAAATATAGAAGAATTTGGAGAAATAGCAGGACTTAAAATAAATAGAGAAAAAAACCAGTTATAGTTAAAAATCTTATAGATAAGCAAAAAACACAACTGTAGAAAAAATAGACTTACAAATAGTTAAGAAAGTTAAATATTTGGGGATATATTTAACAGCAAGATGTGCAATGATAAAAGAAGCTAACTACATAAAATTACTAAGTCAAATAAAAACAGACTTGGAAAAATGGAAAAACCTACAATTATCATTACTAGGAGTAATAGCTACTGTGAAAATGAATACTTTACCAAAACTTCTTTTTTTATTTCAAACAGTACCTGTAAAAATAGAAAAAAAGTTTTTGGATGATTTGAATAGATTGATCTTGAAATTTATTTGGCAAGGAAAGAAAGCCAGAATTAAACTGAAAATGTTACAAGATATCAAAGAAAATAGAGGATTTGGTTTACCAGATTGGGTCCTATACTACCAAGCATGTGCGTTAACATGGCTAAAAAAATGGATAACCCTCAAAAACAAAAGGCTGTTATATTTAGAAGGACATGATCTGCAACTTGCATGGCATGCTTTTTTATGGTATGAAAAGAATAAAACCCATAGATACTTCCAAAACCATTATATAAGATATGCATCACTACCTAAAATTCATATGAAAATCCCAGGATGGCTATCAACGATGGAAGCTTTTGCTCACCCAAATCTAGTTAAATCTGAAAAAATCTTAACCTATAAGGATATTTTGAATACAGATGGGAAATTAAAATCTAAACAAGAGCTAGAAGACCAGGGCATTGACTTACCATGATGGCCCCGATTACAAATGCAATCGAGATATGACAAAGATGTTAAAACATATGATTTTTATAAAGATCAGACTATTTGATCAGGTGTTGTTGATTTCTGATGAAAAAATGATTAAAAATGTATAACTTTTTATTGAATTTAAAAATGGAAGATGAACAAGTGAAAGAAACAATGATTATTTGGGCAAACTTTTTGGATATAACATAGAATTAGAAAAATGGCAAAATTTTGGGGAAATAAATTATAAGCTGACAATTGCTACTTCATATAAAGAAAACTTATATAAAATGTTTTATAGATGGCATTTTCCACCTGTTAGATTAGCAAAAATGTTTAAAAATATGCCTAGTAAATGTTGGAAATCAAGCAAAAAACAATTTGGACCCAAATACATACTTGGTTAGAAAAGATATTAGGGAAACATGTAGATTTTAAACCTGAACTGTTTTTACTAGGCATAATGCCAGAAAAATTTGATAAACAAAATGTATATTTAACATTATATGTATTAACAGCAGTGAGGATTGCATTTGCGCAGCACTGGAAAAATGAGATAACACCATCGGAGGAAACGATAATTAAGAAAATATTGGACTGTGAGGAAATGGATAGATTCTCATTGAGAAGAAGAAGACACAGAATACTTTCAAACATGGAACTTATTTTATCAATGGTTGGAAAAACAAGATTGAGAGTAAGAACTTAACCTTTATGACTAAGCAAAAATTAACTCAGACAACACATTGTTTATTAAGCAGAAATGAATTGTAATAACAGAAAACTAATAAAATACTTAAAAAACCCATTTCCCCCCCCCATTATTTTTCTTTCTGGATCAGTAAAACAAAAGTGAATCTAGTCAATCATTGATTGGCGAATATGATAATATCATTAATCACATGATACATATTTTTGAATATGTTTCAGATGTCCCTTATGATGTGATATCAATATTAATATTTAAACCTCAGGGCTATGTACTCTCGCCATTGGTCTCTTCTCTCTATATGACTGCATCTCAAGGGAACCCTCTGTTAAAGTTCTGAAGTTTCCACATGATACAATGGTCATTGGTCTCGTTTGAGATGGTGATGAATCTGCACATAGAAAGGAGGATGAACAACTGGCCCTGAGATGCAGCTGTAACAATCTGGAACTGATTAAAAAGGCACAATAAAGAATGTCCTTTTTGCATCAACTCAGGAAGTTCAGACTGTCCCAGGAGCTGCTGATACAATTTTACAGACAAATTACTTCAGTAACTGTCTGGTTTGGTACAGCAACCAAACAGGACATGTACAGACTCAAAAGGATAGTTTAGACTGCAGAAAAAAATAATTGCAACCAGCCTGCCTTCCATAGAAGACTTGTATATTGCGTGGGCCAGAAGAAGGACTGAGAAGATACCTGCAGACCCCTTACATCCTGGACATAAACTGTTTCAACTCCTCCCTTCAGATGGCACTACAGGGCATTGCAGGTCAAAACAACTAGATACAAGGACAGTTTTTTTCCTCACACCATCACTCTGCTGAACACCTAATTTTCACAGTGTTTTCTAATGTCTATGTGTAATTTACCGGTGTAGTATTGCTGTAGTATTATTATTTATCTTTCTTATTATCTTTCTTACTCCCCTCTTATTGGTATTATTATTATGATTATCATTAGTCTGTTCTTTGCATATACACTGAGAGCTTCTGCATTGGAGACAAATTCCTTGTGTGTCTAATCACGCTTCGCCAAATAAAGTATTAAATTCAATTCAGCATAACTTAAAAGGTTTACAGATTATTATAACATTTCCATGAATTTAAAAAATGTCAACAAAATTTTTAAACCCCAGATGACAAGTTACCTTGACAATATATAATGAACAGTTGCAAAGTATATATTTTTCTAAAATTCAATCCTTTCATTAACAATTCTACAGGACACGTATAAAAAAATAACCATAATGTAAAAGAACTTACTTTTCTGGAGTGATGTAATAACAAACTCCAGCCCATTACTTCCATTACTGCTTCTTTTGTAATAATTTAATTCTATCCTGTAATATCTAAAATTCTGTGACTTTCTGTGACTCAAATTATATATATATATATATATATATATATATATATATATATATATATATACACATACATACATACATACATACATACATACATACATACATACATACATATATATATATATATATATTGGCTATGTACTTGCAGATATACATCCTAGATCTGATATAAGAAGCTGCAGTATTGTCTATGGAGATTCCCAGTTCATCCAGGTCATGGTTGTCTCAAAGATGCTTTTTCAAAAGGCAACTGGACTTTCTGTGTTTTTTCTCTTGAAGATATTTCGCTTCTCATCCAGAACTGAAGATGCTTCCTGAATGAGAAGTAAAATGTCTTCAAGAGAAAAACACAAAAAGTCCAGTTGTCTTTTGAAAAAGCACCTTTGGGACAAGCTGCAATATTATCCCTGGCTACCAGTCAGGATTGGTGTCATCCTTTGGAGTTTATGTAACTTTTATGTGAGTTTCTGTAAAGTGATGGCTTGCTTTATACCAGTGGTTCTCAACCTTTTTAATGCCGTGACCCCCAACCAGTCGTAAGTTGAGGACTACTCAACCGGTCATAAGTCGAGGACTACTCAACTGGTGCAGCACCGTTTGCAGAATGGGACTTTTGGCGGCTCAGCAGGGCAGAGACAGCCTGGACAATTCCTATTGGCTTTGAAAGCCAATAGAATTAGACTCTATTCAAGAATAAAAGGGAGTAGCACAGCTAAGGAAAAGGGGGAAAAAATGGCGGACTGCGTTGTTTGGCGACCCCCGTGAAATGGTCGTTCGACCCCAAATGGGGTCCCGACCCACAGGTTGAGAACCACTGCTTTATACAGTGCATTAGGACATGGTCTTCTTTTCAAAAATACCTTGAATCACTAATTATTTAATTTCAGAGTAGTGCATGAGGTATAAATAAATTATTCACATAAAACTGGCAATGTGTGTGTGTGTGTGTGTGTGTGTGTGTGTGTGAGAGAGAGAGAGAGAGAGAGAGAGAGAGAGAGAGAGACTTTTAAAACAATGCAAACATTATAGAAGGAATGGTGATCTCTACTCTAAATTAAATCTTAAGGCCAACTCACCTGGTTCTTCAATAGATAACTTGTTATGGTTCCGGCTAATGTACTGTTCCCAAAGCAAGTATGGTGGGCACAGTACTTTAACCGCTTCAACTTCACTCTAAAGTACAGACCAGGAGGAAAGAACTTCCTAGCTGATGCGCTATCCCAGTTACCCCAATACAAAAGTGAATGGGAGGAGGTTAACGAGGCAATTATGCCCAATCCAAAAACTGCTGCTCAACTTACGCCTTGCAGGGTCCCCAATCATGATGACCCTGGAGTAAAGAAAATAAAACGAGAGCTCCTCACCGACCAATGGTTCAAAGATAATCACACCTCCCTAATGTGCAGGGATGGCTTGGCCTACAAAGGGGGGAAACTATATTTGCCAGAAGCCCTCTGTCTTAATGCTCTCAAACACAGCCATGATGTAAAACAGGCTGGACACTTTGGATATTTGAAAACCCTACACCTCACCCGCCAGCAATTTTGGTGGCCGGGGCTGAAAAGGGATGTGGAAAACTATGTAAAACGTTGTACTGTATGTACCACAATGAAAAGAATCCCAGGGAAAACCCCTGGGTTACTGCAACCCGTGGCAGACCCTTGTCTACCGTGGGAAGAAATAGCTATGGATTTTATAGTAGACCTACCTGAAAGTAGTGGAAATACTGTCATCTGGACGGTAATAGACCTGTTCTCAAAGCAGGCTCATTTCATCGCCAGCAAAGGATTCCCATCTGCCCAACGACTGACCAAATTGTTCCTGAAACATATCTACCAGCTGCATGGCGCCCCTAAGTGAATAATTTCGGACAGGGGGGTATAGTTCACAGCGAAGTTTTGGAGGAGTTTCCTTAAATTAATTGGATCATCTCAAGGTTTATCATCTGCTTTTCATCCTGCCACGAATGGGGCTGCAGAATCTGCTAACAAAATGCTGGAGCAATATCTTAGATGCTACTTTTCTTACCAGCAGACAAACTGGACTGACCTCCTCCCTTTTGCGGAGGTGGCGTACAATAATTCTGTGCACAGCAGCACTGGCTACACGCCTTTCAGAGTGGCCACAGGAAAAGAGTTCAGCCCAATACCTGAATACCCTCAGGTGCCCTCCAATTCCCAGACACTTGACCAATGGGTGAGAGGGTGGGAAGAAGTTTGGAGAAACACAAAAACTGCTTTAAGAAAGACTTTTGAAACCTATAAAAAGCAGTAACACAACCTTATATTCTTGCTTTGACATAACCACAAAGTTGCTCAGGAAAAATCAAAAGAGCAAAAAGAAAAAAGCTGGAATAAATAGAAAGTCACTAGATTAATTGCATATTTTTCCTCACCTCTTTCGTTGTGCCATTAACTACAACCTGCTTAGATAAATCTTCAGGGCCAGAAGAAGTCCAGTGGTTGCCTGGGACGTTTACATCTCCCACAGAAAATACAGGAAAGAGAGGCCTGAGAAATCGGAACTCGCTACTTAAAGAACCACCAGTCAAACAAACATCATAACGGTAAGTCCTGGAAAGTGACCCATTCTGTGAATCTGCACAGTTCTCTGGGGCATCAGCACTGGCGGGTGGGAAGTGAGGAACAGCTGTAGTAAAATGGCTTTGGGGGTCCTTCTTGAAGATTTTGACCACAATAAACACAACAATACAGACCAGGAACACAAAGGAGACAGCAGCCAAGCAGATCACCAAATACTTGGTCAAGGTTTTATCTTCTTCCGGTTCTTGCACACTGACATCCACCCTCCTCAGGAAGGGATCCGAAAAGCCATCCACAAGAAGGACATTAAGCAACGCCGTGCTGGTCTGGGGAGGAAGACCGTTGTCTCTGACCAGAATCACCAGCCTCTGCTTGTTTGTGTCTCGCTCATTCAGGGCTCTCCTGGTTTTCACTTCCCCATTCTGCGCTCCTATGCTGAAAAGGGCTGGGTCCGTGGCCTTCAGCAATTCATAGGAAAGCCAAGAGTTTTGGCCAGAATCTGCATCCACTGCAACCACCTTGGTGACCAGATAGCCGGCCTCGGCTGACTTGGGAACCAGCTCATTGCATGGGGATGTGTTGTTCTGGAGGGGATACAGGAAGAAGGGAGCATTGTCGTTCTCATCTATGATGTGGATGCGGACAATCACTTCTGAGCTCAGGGAAGGAGAACCACCATCAGAGGCCCTCACAGTAACTCTGAAGCCTCTTATCTGCTCATAGTCCAGGGATCGGAGGGCATACAGGTTTCCAGTATCAGAGTTGATTGAAATGAAAGTGGGCAAAAGGCCATCACCCTTCCCAGGCAGAACTGAGTAAGTCACTTTTGCATTCTGCTTCGTGTCCAGATCCACAGCGTGGACTGAGCCAATGAGCAAACCTGGAATATTATTCTCCCGGATCTGCATGTCAAATGAAGACTTTTCAAAAAGAGGAGAGTTATCATTGACATCGGAGATCTGAACATTAATCAGTCTTGTTGAAGTGAGCCTAGGAGAGCCACAGTCAATGGCTGTGATGGTGATGTTGTACTCAGTGACCGTCTCTCTGTCTAGGGGACTTTGGAGCACAAGCTGATAAAAGTTATTTGTGGTGCCTTTGAGCACAAAAGGAAGGTTCATCTCCAGGGAGCAGACTGTTTTGCTGTTGTCTCCAGAGTCTTGGTCTCTAACACTGAAGATGGCCACCACTGTGTCTGGGGGAGAGTCTTCCTTTAAAGTGTTGGTCAGAGATATGATGGACACTTCTGGGGGGTTGTCATTCACATCTTCAATTTCTATCAGTACGTTGCAGTGCCCTGAAAGACCCCCTCCATCTGTTGCTCTGATGTTCATACTGTAACTCTTTTCTTTTTCATAGTCAATCTGACTCAAAACTGTGATTTCTCCTGTTCTTTCATTTAAATAGAACAAATTGTTTATTCTTTCCAGCACTTGATGGAATGAGTAGAGTATCTGTGCATTTGAACCCAAATCCAGATCTGCGGCTTCCACTTTAATCACAAGAGTGCCTTTAGGGAGATTTTCTTTTATTCTTGCCTTATATTCAGACTTGCTAAACAGAGGAAAGTTATCATTACTATCCAGCACATTAATGTTAATTTGAACTGTGCCTGTTTTCTTTGGAACTCCTCCATCAATAGCCATTAGAGTCAATCCAAGATGTGCCATCCTCTCCCTATCTAATGTTTTCTTCAAAACAAGATATACATTGTCTTTTCTATCTTCATTCTTGTGTACTTCAAGCTGAAAATGCTCATTGGGATTAAGAGTATAATTTTGGATGCTATTCTCTCCCAAGTCTTCATCTTGGGCAGGTTCCAAGGGGAATGTTGTACTTTTAGGAACAGTCTCAAGAATGTCTATCTCCACATTGTTTTTCCAAAATTTGGGGGCATTGTCATTCACATCTTCTATCTTGATTTCAATATTAAAGATATCTAAGGGGTTTCCCAAAACAAGCTGAGATAGAAGTACACAAGGATCATTCTGGCCACATAAAGTTTCTCTGTCTATGTTATCATTAATCAACAGATTCCCAGTCTGAATATCAAGGTGGAAGTATTCCTGAATGCCCTCAGCAGCTAAATGTGCTTTGCGGGCTGAGAGCTCCCCTGCTTCCAGTTTCAATTCCTTCAGTACATTAGCCACCAGAAACCCCTTTTTCTTTTCTTCAGGGACAGAAAAGCGAATTGAAGTACACATTACTCTAAGGAATGAGAAAGAGAGAAGGACATACAGACCTTGTCTTTTCCAAAAGCAATTCTCCATGATTCCAGTCTCTTCCTTGTAGGCTCAAATTCTGCCCAACAGTCAGCCTTTCTTTCCTTCCTTTCTTTATAATTTAGCTGTGCAAATCATTTTTAATTCTTCTTATTTTCTGCCATGTTATGATCTGCAAACATTTCACTGCCAAAGAGTCAGATTCCTTTTGTTCAATTTTGTATTATTGTCTGATACTGAGGAAGCAGAAGAGAACTAAATTTCTTTGTTAATATTGCCACCATGTGGTGAACTAGGCAAAAATTCTATTTCTATTGTTTAAATACAGAAATTACTTGAAATCCATTTTATTCATTATCTATCTATCTATCTATCTATCTATCTATCTATCTATCTATCTAAGCAAAAGAGGATTGTTTTCTTAATTATTTTAATATACAGAAAAAGAAACAGTGTGGTAATCTGCACAAGAATTTTCACATATTATTAACATAGGCTGCAATCAGTCCTTTCACAATATAGTTCTGAATGATTATGAGCATACCCAGTAACTCTTTAGGTGGCTTCTGTTGTGTGCCCATGCATATCAAGTCTAAACCTGTGTAAGAAAATCATTTATGGATTAGGACAGTTTGGCAACAGCTTTCTTTTTTTACAATATTTTATTAATTTTTTATAGTCACAAATCCTTAATATTTTATCAGCAACATATTGTCTGGGTTTCAGTATTTAGCTTACTAATACATGTTGAACTCCTTTCTCTCTACCTCGTTTTTCTAGCCATGATAAAATGTATCCCATGTTCTAAAATATTCTGAATCTTCTTTCTCTTTCATTTTCAGAGTCACTGTCCATTTCTGCGCAGTCCAAAATTTTCTTAATTATCTGTTCCTCCGCTGGTGGTTCTTCATCTTTCCAATGTTGAGCAAATACAATTCTCACTGCAGTTAACACATGTAACATTAAGTATACACATTCCTTCTCATAGTTTCCTACAATTATTCCTAACAAAAATAATTCTGGCTTAAAATCTATGTGTTTTTTAGTCATTTTCTCTAACTATATATGTATGCTTGACCAAAATCTTTTGGCTTTAGGGATGTCCATCAAAGATGATAATATGTGCCTGGTTTTTGTCTACATTTCCAACAATTATTAGACATATTTTTAAACATTTTCGCTAACCTCACAGGTATTAAGTGCCATCCGTAACACATTTTATATAGATTTTCTTTGTAAGCCACCACCTTTGTTATTTTAGAATTTCTTTCCCAAAGTCTTTGCCAGTTTTCTAACTCTATGTTATGCCCAAAGTTTTTTGTCCATATTATCATTGTTTCTTTAACTTGTTCCTTTTCCATCTTTAAACTTAACGTATACTTATACAGTTTCTTAACCAATTTTTCATCTAATGTCAATAATATCTGATCAAATTCTGTCTGTTCTTTGTAAAATCCAGATGTTTTAACATCTTTTTCATATCTCGTTTGAATTTGCAGGTGTGCCCACCATAATAGATCAATGCCCTGTTCTTCCAGTTCTTGTTTGGTTTTTAGTTTCTCTTCAGTATTTAAAATGTCTTTATAAGTCACAATTTTCTCATAGTTAATTAAGTTCGGGTGAAGAAACGCTTCCATTGTTGAAAGCCATCCAGGTATTTTCATGTAAATTTTTGCTTTTATTTTTTCCCATTCTAGAAGCAGTGCCTTTCTTATATAATGGTTTTGAAAGTATCTATGTATTTTATTCTTCCAATACCATAAGAAGGCATGCCATCCAAATTGTAGGTCATGCCCCTCTAGGTATAGTAATCTTTTATGTCTAAGCGTTATCCATTCTTTTAACCATGTTAATACAGATGCTTGATGATATAATTTGGATTTTAGTAATGCATTTGATAAAATAGACGACAAGTTACTTTTGAGAAAGCTAGCAAATATGAGACAGGCAGCATCACACCAGATGTATTTCTAACTGGCTGACAAACCACTCTCAATGAGTAGCCTTAATGGAACTACATCTACAGGGAGGGAAGTAAGCAATTGGGTACCGCAAGTTCTGTTTTGGCCCAGTACTTTTTAATATCTTTATAAACAGTTTAGATGAGGAAATAGAAGGATAACTCATCAAACTTGCAGATGGCACCAAAAGAGTGGGAATAGCCAATACCCCAGAAGTTACAATCAAAACCCAGAAGCTCTTGATAGACTTGAACACTGGGCCCCACGTAACAAATTGAAATTCAGTGGAGAGAAACATACGGTTTTACACTTAGGCAAGAAAAACCAGATGTACAGGTACAGAATAGGTGAAACCTGGCTCAATAGCAGTAACTGCAAGAGAGATCTTGCAGTCCTAGTGGATAATCACTTAAATATGAATGAGCAGTTTGCTGCATCCACCAAAAAAGCCAATGCAATCCTAGGCTAGACAGATTCAAGATCATGTGAAGTGTTAGTACTGCTTTATAATGCCTTGATGAGACCACACTTGGAATACTGCATCCAGTTTTGGTCACCACAATATAAAAAAGATGTTGAGACTCTGGAAAGAGTGCAGAAAAGAGCAACAAAGATGATTAGTGGGCCGGAGGCTAAAGCACATAAAGAACTGTTGCAAGAATTCAGTATCTCTAGTCTAGTGAAAGAAGGATAAGGGGAGACAAGATAGCAGTGTTCCAATATTTGAGGGGTTGCCACAAGAAGAGGGGGTCAACCAATTTTCTGTTATAAATAGATGTCTAATCTTTTCTTGAAAATCTGCAACACGGGGCACCCACGACTCTGGGAAGCAAACTGCTCCATTTGATTAATTGTTCTCACTGTCAGGAAATTTCTCCTTAGTTCCAGATTGGATCTCTCTTTAAGGAGTTTCCACCCATTGCTTCTTGTCTTGCCCTCAGGTGCTTTGGATAATAAGTTGAATAATATTAAGTATCAGATTGATTTCTTGAATGATTGGGTGAGTAGAGGGGGAATCATATCATGTCTGTCAGCAAAAATATTCTCTAGTATTTCCAATTAATTATTCAGCACATTAGTTTTAAAAGCCAATTTGTACAGCACCAAATTACTGATATTCTATTGCAGTTAAATTTCTATATGCCATCTTTTTCCAATCAGTCCTGCAATTATATTTCTTGTGTTCAATGCCATTAATTATCATAATAGCTATTGCTTCCAGATCTCTCCCCTCCCTCTCATAGATGTCACTATAATTTTTCTTCCTGAATCAGAATTAAAAGTGAGTCCAACTAAACATGGATTGACATTGATCAATTGATATATGTTTTTGAACATATACAATATTTCAGAGACCCCTTATGATATGAAAATATGAAGAAGCTAAAATAACATTTATTTTTAAAAAGATAGTATTAGTTGAATGCAGTCAGATCATCATACAAGTTCCCTAAATGCAATATTGGCAAGAGAATCTTTGAATTCCAGGTGGCAAATTGGTTTGACAATCTCTAAATGGGGAAATACTCCAGAGTATTTATTTTTATAAAATTCAATCTATTTCTCAAAAATTCTAGAAGACAGGAATAAAAAATAACTATAGTAGGAAAAAATGTTCTTGTAGGGAACTATAATAGAAACTTTAACTCAGGATTGTCAATATTGCTCCTTTTAGGAGAATATTTGGAACAGTTTGCTCTTTGCTCTAATCTATAAAAATTCCTGTGACTCAGATTAAATTTATATTGGTTACTTTGTAAGACTGGCATAAGAAGTGGAAACGCTGTGTCTGGCTGCCAGTCAGGATTAGTGCGAATCTTTAAGATTCATATAATTTATTATTCCCAAACAACTGTTATGAATTAAGTGATGGGCTGCTTTACAGAGAATACCAGGACAGTGACTGGTTTCCTAAAATGCAATGAATCAGAAATTATCTTAGGTATAATTAGGTCAGGCGAGTGTATAACGTGTAAATCAATGTACAGGGAATCTCAAGATGTGATGACAGTTGGGACTGGAATTTCTGCCACTAAGCAATACATTCATAAATCATGTGATTATATTGCTTAGCAATGGCAAGTGAAAATCACAGGTCACCACCTGCAACTTCCTGCCAGCTTCCAAGAACCAAAATCAGTGGGGAGGCTGACAGATGACTAGGCCGCAAACAAGCAGGCCAGCAGGCAAGTAAGCAGCGACTGCTGGGTGGGAGAGGGAGTGAGGGGATGCACAGAAAGCCATGCCAGGGCTTGGGGTACCTACTGCTATGTGAGGGAGGGTGCACCTCTGGCCGGGGAAAGACTGCAGTTCAAAGAGGCTGTGCAATTGGCAGGGAAGGCCCAGTGTGAGCACAAGAGGGCTGGGAGTGGATGTTGCTGGGTAGGGGAGGGTACACAAGACTGCAAATGGCCATGACACATAGCAGAAGCACAGTGAGGCCTGGAGAGAGTGTACAAGGGTGTATGGGTGATTGGCAAGGTCCAGTGTGACTGCAGAAAGGCTGGGGGAATGTATGCAGCCGGGTAAGACTTACCCGAGCAGTTTGCAACCCTCCCTGCCAGCTTCCCCATTGAAATTGCTTGTGGGAAACCTGCAGCGAAGGTTGCAAATTACATGACCATGAGATGCAGAACCATCCTAAGTGTGAGCTGGTTGCCAAGTGCCCAGATCAGAATCAAGCGATCAGGGAGGTTCCAGGACAGCTGGAAGGTCTAGGACCGGTTCTAACTATCACCCAGCGCATTATAATACCAATGTTCGCTAAAAGAGTAGCTGTTAACCAAAGACTGACTAACTACCTGTAAAAGAATTGTGATCTATGCTCTCAACTAACATTAAAGTAAAATTGCTTGTTTTTTAAATAAATAACCAGCATGGAGTTCCAGAATAACTAATAGAGCAAAACAAACAAAGGGAGAATAAATAGAAAGAGGCTGAATTAATTGCATGTTTTTCCTCACCTCTTTCGTTCTCCCATTAACTGCAACCTCCTTAGATAAATCTTCGGGGCCAGAAGAAGTCCAGTGGTTGCCTGGGACATTAACATCTCCAACAGGACAGGACAGCACAGGAAAGAGAGGCCTGAGAAATCGGAACTCACTACTTAAGGATCCACCAGTCAAACAAACATCATAACGGTAAGTCCTGGGAAGTGACCCATTCTGTGAATCTGCACAGTTCTCTGGGGCATCAGCACTGGCGGGTGGGAACTGAGGAACAGCTGCAGTAAAATGGCTTTGGGGGTCCTTCTTGAGGATTTTGACCACAATAAACACAACAATACAGACCAGGAACACAAAGGAGACAGCAGCCAAGCAGATCACCAAATACTTGGTCAAGGTTTTATCTTCTTCCGGTTCTTGCACACTGACATCCACCCTCCTCAGGAAGGGATCCGAAAAGCCATCCACAAGAAGGACATTAAGCAACGCCGTGCTGGTCTGGGGAGGAAGACCGTTGTCTCTGACCAGAATCACCAGCCTCTGCTTGTTTGTGTCTCGCTCATTCAGGGCTCTCCTGGTTTTCACTTCCCCATTCTGCGCTCCTATGCTGAAAAGGGCTGGGTCCGTGGCCTTCAGCAATTCATAGGAAAGCCAAGAGTTTTGGCCAGAATCTGCATCCACTGCAACCACCTTGGTGACCAGATAGCCGGCCTCGGCTGACTTGGGAACCAGCTCATTGCATGGGGATGTGTTGTTCTGGAGGGGATACAGGAAGAAGGGAGCGTTGTCGTTTTCATCTATGATGTGGATGTGGACAATCACTTCTGAGCTCAGGGAAGGAGAACCACCATCGGAGGCCCTCACAATAACTCTGAAGCCTCTTATCTGCTCATAGTCCAGGGATCGGAGGGCATACAGGTTTCCAGTTTCAGAGTTGAGTGAAATGAAAGTGGGCAAAAGGCCATCACCCTTCCCAGGCAGAACTGAGTAAGTCACTTTTGCATTCTGCTCCGTGTCCAGATCCACAGCGTGGACTGAGCCAATGAGCAAGCCTGGAATATGATTCTCCCGGATCTGAATGTCATATGAAGGCTTTTCAAAAAGAGGAGGGTTATCATTGATGTCAGAAATCTGAACATTAATCAGTCTTGTTGAAGTGAGCCTAGGAGAGCCACAGTCAATGGCTGTGATGGTGATGTTGTACTCAGTGACCGTCTCTCTGTCTAGGGGACTTTGGAGCACAAGCTGGTAAAAGTTGTTTGCGGTGCTTTTGAGCACAAAAGGAAGGTTCATCTCCACGGAGCAGACCGTTTTGCTGTTGTCTCCAGAGTCTTGGTCTCTAACACTGAAGACGGTCACCACTGTGTCTGGGGGAGAGTCCTCTTTTAAGAAGCTGGTCAGAGATATGATGGTCATTTCTGGGGGGTTGTCATTCACATCTTCAACCTCAATCAGAATCTTGCAGTGCCCTGAAAGACCCCCTCCATCTGTTGCTCTGATTTTCATACTGTAACTCTTTTCTTTTTCATAGTCAATCTGACTCAAAACTGTGATTTCTCCTGTTCTTTCATTTAAATTGAACAAATTGTTTATTCTTTCCGGCACTTGATGGAATGAGTAGAGGATCTGTGCATTTGAACCCAAATCCAGATCTGTAGCTTCCACCTTAACCACAAGAGTGCCCAGAGGCAGATTCTCCTTTATTCTTGCCTTATATTCAGACTTGCTAAACAGAGGAAAGTTATCATTATTATCCAGAACATTAATATTAATTTGAACTGTGCCTGTTTTCTTTGGAACTCCTCCATCAATAGCCATTAGAGTCAATCCAAGGTGTGGCATCCTCTCCCTATCTAATGTTTTCTTCAAAACAAGATATATATTATCATTTTCGTCTTCATTCTTGTGTAGTTCTAGCTTAAAATGCTCATTGGGATTAAGAGTATAATTTTGGATGCTATTGTCTCCCAAGTCTTCATCTTGGGCAGGTTCCAAGGGGAATGTTGTACTTTTAGGAACAGTCTCAAGAATGTCTATCTCCACATTGTTTTTCCAAAATTTGGGGGCATTGTCATTCACATCTTCTATCTTGATTTCAATATTAAAGATATCTAGGGGGTTTTCCAGAACAAGCTGAGATAGAAGTACACAAGGATCATTCTGGCCACATAAAGCTTCTCTGTCTATGTTATCGTTAATCAACAGATTCCCAGTCTGAATATCAAGGTGGAAGTATTCCTGAGTGCCCTCAGCAACTAAATGTGCTTTGCGGGTTGAGAGCTCCCCTGCTTCCAGTTTCAATTCCTTGAGCACATTAGCCACCAGAAACCCCTTTTTCTTTTCTTCAGGGACAGAAAAGCGAATTGAAGCACACATTACTCTAAGGAATGAGAAAGAGAGAAGGACATACAGACCTTGTCTTTTCCAAAAGCAATTCTCCATGATTCCAGTCTCTTCCTTGTAGGCTCAAATTTTGCCCAACAATCAGTCTTTCTTTCCTTTCTTTATGATTTAGTTGTGCAAATCATTTTGAATTGTTCAGTCTTTTCCCATTTTATAGTCTGCATATGTCTCATCGCAAAAAGAGTCAGATTCCTTTTGTTCAATTTTGTATTACTGTCTGCCCTGATAGTGAGGAAGTAGACTAGATTTCTTTGTTAATATCGCCACCATGTGGTGAACTAGGCAAATATTCTATTTCCATTGTTTAGATACAATAAATACATTAAATCCATTTTTATCTATCCACTAGCAGATTATCTTATGAACTATTTAATTATATAGAAAAAAACATTGTGACAATCTGCACAAAAGTTATTGATAAAGGCTATATTCTAGTTCTATCACAGTTGAGTTATGAACGACTGAGGGCATATCCACTGACTCTTTAGGCTCCTTCTGTTATGTGCCCATGCATATCAAGTCTAAACCTATGTAAGAAAATAATTTTTGCATTGGGACACTTTTGCAACACCTTTCAAGGCATTCAGTTTGGACGAAGGGCATCCTCCCACTAGACAAAAACAGAACCCTGACATCCTGGAGATAAACTGTTTCAACTTCTCCCCTCAAGACACAACTGTAGGGGATTGCATGTCAAAACAACTTGCCATCACTCTGCTAAACACCTAACTTGCACAGCATTATCTTATGCCTAAAGATATTTACCTATGCTATAGGCTGTATTGCTATCATTGTTGGCACCTTCTCATCTTTCTCATCTCTCAACTTTCCTACTACTTTCTCCTATTGGTATATTATGATTTATCAATTGTTCATATCCTATGATTTATAATTGTATCTTATGATTTATTATCTATGAGCTATCTCTTTGTTGTTTGCATGTACTTTTGAGAGCTAATGCACTGGAGATAAATTTCTTGTGTGTCCACTTGGCTATTCTGTTATTTCTATTATGTTCTGTTATTTCATTTGCTATTATGCCTTCCCAATTTTTGTGTGGGTGCATGTACAACAAAAAGAGAAAGAGAGAGTCATTGCCTCCTTGCTAGATATCAGAGAGAGAGAGAGAGAGAGAGAGAGAGAGAGAGAGAGAGAGAGAGAGAGAGAGAGAGAGAGAGAGAGAGAGAGAGATATTGGCCCAAGATCACCTTTCTACCTTAAACTCAGAAAAGCAATTGTTTGTTACATTCCTTTATGGGTGTCTTTACCACTCACTTCCCCAAATCCTGACCTGTTTAAGCATTAAATCACTTGTATCACTCTCCACCAATCAGAGTTAAGCCTTGATCATGAGCTGCATTATAAACCCTTCTATTTCTAATCAATGTGCTCAAATTTCATTTAAATCGTTTTTCACTCAGTCCACATTCCTTCCCTCAAACACCCATTCAACCTCCTGCAAAATTTTATTTTTTATTTATAAAATTCATTAGAGCGGTGTGATGGCCTAGAAGTGAAGATGCTTGCTTCCCATTCAAAAGGTTGAGAGTTCAATCCTAGGCAGTGATAGATGTTTCTCTATCAGGGCACAAAGAGAAAATATCTGCTGCAAATAGAAGATCTGTCAGCTCTAGGTGGATTCAAATCACAGGGTCCTGATGGATTACATTGCAGAGTTCTGAGGGAACCGGCAGACATAATCTCAGAACCACTGACCCATATCTTTCAAAGTTCTTGAAGCATCAGGGAACTACTGAAGACTGGAAAAGAGCTGATGTGGTCCCCATCTTCAATAAAGGGGGAAAAAACAGATCCAGGAAATTACAGACCAGTCAGCTGACATCAATACCTGGGAAGATTTCAGAAAAGTTAATCAAGCAACAAATCTATGAACACCTAGAAACAAAAAAGATTACAACCAGAAGCCAACATGGGTTCATCAAAAACAGATCAGATCACGCCAAACAACTCTTATTTCATTCTTCGACAAAGTGACCAAATTAGTAGATCAGTGAAATGCTGTAGACATAATATATTTAATTTCAATAAAGCATTTAATAAAGTATCAATTTCTTGGCAAGCTAGAAAAATGTGGGATAGACAGAACCACCACCAGGTGGGTTTGTAGCTGGTTGACAAATTGTCATTAATGGAACTACATTCACATAGAGGCAGAAACATACAAAGAACAGTTACAGGACTTGGTTATAGTCTAATGAGAAGGAATGACATGATAACAGTGTTCCAATATTTGAGGGGCTCCTACAAAGATAACTGGGTCAAACTATTTTCCAAAACAACAAAAGGCAAGAAACAAAACAATGGATGGACATTAACCAAAGAGAGAGGCACCCTAGAACTAAGGAGAAATTTCCTAACGGTGAGAGCAATCAACCAAAGAACTACTTGCCTTCCAAAGTTGTGGGTTTTCCATCACTAGAGGCTTTCAAAAAGAGACAGGATAACCATTTGTCTGAAATGATATAGGGTCTCCTGCTCAAGCAGGGGGTTGGACTAGAACAGGGGTCCCCAACGCCCAGTCCATGGACCGGTACCGGGCCGCAGCATGTCAGCAACCGGTCGACAGAAATAAGCAAAGCCCCATCCATGGGAGACAGGCAGCACACAAAACCACACACTCTCTGGTTGGTGGAAAAACCTTTCTGCACGGAACCGGTCCCTGATGCCCAAAAGGTTGGGGACCTCTGGAATAGAAGACCACCGAGGTCCCTTTCAACTTTATTAGTCAATGTTCTAAACATACGCTTCTTCATTAACAGATTATACTCACCTGGGATATATCCTCTCTTTCCTCCAATTGATTAGGAAGATCACGGCAATCATTTCTAATCTGTGGATTCAGCAGAGTTTTTCGATGCTCCATAGTAAAAACAGGAAAGAAAGGCCTAAGGAACTTGAACTCACTGCTCAGAGATCCATCCGCTAAGCATACCTCATAGCTGAAGGCCTGGGAAGGTGTCCCAGTATTAGGATCCACACACTTGTCTTGTGAACTTGGTCCCACGGGGAAATTAGATGCAGAATGAGAACTTCCTATGAACTTTCTTCGCTTCTGAAACTTGGTGGCAATAAACACCATGACAGAAAGCAGAAAAATGGATGAGATGGCAACCAAGCAGATAATCAAATACATGGTTAGAGTATGATCTTCCTCCTGCGGGACTTCACTCTTAGGATTATCCATAATGTTCATGTATGGATCAGAGAAGCCGTCCACTAGAAGAATTCTTAGGGTCACAGACACAGACTGAGGCGGATGCCCATTATCCCTAACTGCCACAATAAGAGTGTGTTTGAAAGTGTCTCGGATGTTCACCGGCCTCATGGTTTTCACTTCCCCATTCTGAGTCCCAACAGCGAAGAGACTCGGATCTGTGGCCTTCAGCAATTGATAGGAAAGCCAAGAATTCTGCCCTGAGTCCCTGTCCGTTGCTACCACTTTGGTGACCAGGTAGCCTATCTCTGCTCCCCTGGGAACCAGCTCCTTTGATGGAGAAGTGCTATTCTGAAGGGGGCAGAGGACGAAGGGGGCGTTGTCATTCTCATCTCTGATAAGAACTCGGACCATGGTTTCTGAGCTCAGTGGAGGCGAGCCCTTGTCTACAGCCCTCACCATCACCTGGAAATCTTGTATATCCTCATAATCCACAGATCGGATGGCATACAGGTTCCCGGTTTCGGAGTTGATGGAGATATAAGATGATGCGGGGACATCTCTGATTTTCCCAGGTAAAAGCCAATAGGTCAGTTTGGCATTTTGTTCTGTGTCCACATCCACAGCGTGGACTGATCCAATAAGCAGTCCTGGAATGTTGTTTTCTCTCAAGTGCAAATCGTAGAAAGATCTTTCAAACATTGGAGGGTTATCATTGATGTCTGAAAGTTGAATGCTAATAACTGTCATTGAAGTGAGTCTGGGAGAACCTTGGTCAGTGGCTGTGATGGTGATGTTATATTGTGACATTTGTTCTCTGTCCAGTGGCTGTTGAGTCACAAGCTGGTAATAATTGTTCTCAGTCAGTTTTAGTATAAAAGGCAGGTTTTTGTCAGTGTTGCAGGTAGTTCTGCCATTGTCTCCAGAGTCTTGATCTCTGATACCAAAAAGTACCACCACCGTTTCCGGGGGAGAATTCTCTGGTAAAGGATTAGTGATGGATGATACAACTATTTCTGGGGCATTGTCATTCTCATCTTCAATGTCAACAAGAACTTTGCAGTAAGTGGAGAGTCCTCCTCCATCTGTGGCTTTGATACTGAGTTGATATTTACTGTTTATTTCATAATCAATTTTCGCTACAAGTGTAATTTCCCCAGTATGGTTGTTTAAGCTGAATGATTGAAGCACATGTGCTGGTGCCTGGCTAAAAGTGTAAATGATGCGAGCATTGACTCCAATATCTTTGTCAGTGGCTTCAACTTTAGCAACCAATGAGCCTGGATGACTACTTTCCATCAACTGCACTTTATAGACTGCTTGTTCAAATTGGGGCACGTTATCATTGTTATCCAGAATATCAATAATTATCTGTGCTGTGCCAGTTCTCCTTGGGATCCCTCCATCCACGGCTTCCAGAGTGAGGATAAACTGAGGGATCACCTCGCGATCTAATGGCTTTGCCAAAAGCAGTTCTGCATATTTGCTGCCATCATTTTGACTTTGCACGTCCAGCTTAAAATATTCACTTGTGCTTATTATGTAGTTCTGGATAGCATTTTCCCCTTTGTCTAAATCATGGGCTGTCTCCAAAGGGAAACGTGCATTTATGGGGGTCTGTTCAGGTATTTCAAAAAGGAATTGATTCTGAGAAAAGGTAGGGGAATTATCATTGACATCTTCTACCTGAACTTCAATTTTGAACACTTGCAAAGGATTTTCCAGCACAATTTCAGAGAATAGAGTGCAAGGATCAGTCAGACCACACAAAGCTTCTCGGTCAATTTTATCCCTTAATATTATATTCCCAGAGTGAGGATCCAGCTGGAAATCCTGCCTGGAACTCTTAGAAATCAACTGTGCTCTGCGAGCAGAGAGCTCCTTCACATCTACCTTCAAATCTTTAAGCACATTTGCTACCATTGATCCAGCTTTCTTCTCCTCAGGCACTGAATAGCGGAACGGTTCACACAACATACCAGAGCTACATAGAGAAATAAAGAACAAGACCACTTGCCTGCTAGGAGGAGATACTTCCATTTTCTCAGCCTCTCTCTGGGAATATGATTCTTCGTGAAGCAGCTCCTACAATTTCTTTTATAGTTGTTATCAGAATCCAGCAGGAGTTATTTTTTGGTATTCATGCTGGAATATTTTCTTTGGATATTTCTCAGTTGAGAGCTGTTGCCTTTTGTTCTGAGATTCCTTTGTCTAATGACTAGATCATCCTGAAATAAATGAATCTCTCTTTTTTTACTGTTTGGTGCAATAGCACCACCTTGTGTGTAAAGTAAATGGAGCACTGAGTTTATGAAACTCCTTTGAGTAGGGCATTTATTCTAGAGTATCGAATGGTGCGTGCTTCTTTTCAAAAGAACAAAATGTTCCTCCTGTATACGTTCTTGGTGTCATCTGTCATAGCAAGACAATATATTAACAGCTTTCAGTCCAAAGAAAAAGGATTCCTCCCGAAATGTAAGAGCTATAACTTTTGGTATGATTGTGACGTGAATGTATGTATAAGAATGTGTATGCAATTAGATATCCAGAGGAATTTCATTTTTGTGTTATATTTTTACTAGCACCTTTTCATGTCCTGAGTTTATAATAACCATGTAGGTCATACTTTGAAACAATCATGATTTTCACTTCCACTCATATCTACACATTTCATAATTCCTTTCAGAAAAAAATTAAGCAGACAGGAATCTAAATTAAAAAGTCTCCATTTGCATAAGCTGCCACTGCATTTGGCTGTTTCTTTTTTCGTATTACTTTGTAGAGGTTTTTACCTCTCTTGTTTGTCTAATGTTTTGTTTTGGATCTTTTTTTCATATTTTTGTGTCAAGTATCACATAAACAGAAGAGAAGAACAGGAATGAACAATTAACTATCATATTAGACCAACTTGGAAAAGGGATGGAGACTGTATTCTTATATTTCATATCTAAAAATTCAGAAATAGTAATAGTAATAGTAATAGTAGTAAAGTTGGAAGGGACCTTGGAGGTCATCTAGTCCAACCCCCTGCTCGGGCAGGAAACCCTACACCATTTCGGACAAATGGCTGTCCAGTCTCTTCTTAAAAACTTCCAGTGTTGGAGCATTTACTGCTTCTGGAGGCAAGCTTTTCCACTGATTAATTTTTCTCACTGTCAGGAAGTTTCTCCTTAGTTCTAGGTTGCTTCTCTCCTTGATGAGTTTCCACCCGTTGCTTCTTGTCCTGCCTTCAGTTGCTTTGGAAAATAGCTTAATTCCCTCTTCTTTATGGCAGCCCCTGAGATATTGGAATACTGCTATCATGTCCCCCCTTGTCCTTCTCTTCGTTAAACTAGACATACCCAATTCTAGCAACCGTTCCTTATATGTTTTAGCCTCCAGTCCCCTAATCATCTTTGTTGCTCTTCTCTGTACTCTTTCTAGAGTCTCAACATCTTTTTTACATCGTGTGACCAAAACTGGATGCAGTATTCCAAGTGTGGCCTTACCAAGGCATTGAAGAGTGGTATTAATACTTCACGTGATCTTGATTCTATCCCCTGTTAATGCAGCCTAGCACTGTGTTGGCCTTTTTGGCAGCTGCAGCACACTGCTGGCTCATATTTAGGTGATTGTCTACTAGGACTCCGAGGTCCCTCTCACAGTTACTACTATTGAGCATGGTGCCACCTATG